TAGTGTAGAGACATTTAAGCACCCCAATGGGTGTCCATGGTACCTCCCTGTTCTGGGGGTGGTATCTGGCTGGGTTCAGGGCAGAGCCATCTCCCTTGCTCTGCCCCTACCCCATTTCCCGCCTCCCACCAGATCTTTAGCTTTTGAAAAACCAAATCTGGATTATCCAGCTGTGTGTACCCCCAGGCCAGGTGCCCATATTCCCCACATCTATAACAAAACCCCACTGTTTTAGTGTGGGCACTCACTGAAGGTCTAACCAGGACATGAAGACTCAGCCTGGGCAGTACCACAGGAGGGGCTCAGACCACAGCTGCTGTCATCACTGGGGTCAGAGACTCCTTCCCTGCCCCATACAAAACCTCCTTTTGAGGAGCCACCATCAATATCCAGCTAATGGATCCTCTCCGGCCTGACACGTTCTCCTGGACCCACATAGTGGAGGATCTCTTCTTCTTCCCTTACTTCTCTAATGACCTGGCTAAGCCCTGGTGGGTCATTCTTATGACCAGCCAGATTGAGGTCTCTGACTAGGGTCAAACTATACCATGCCCCAATCTGAATCCACCTCATGTAGTTGGATTCAGATACACAGAGGCCCCCTTGGACTACCACTCACTTCAGCACCGTAAGATATACGATGAAACCATCTTGCCTTTTTGCTGGAAGGTGCTGAGCATCTCATAATAGGGGCCTCCACTCCTGGAGGGCCACCTAAATACATCTTGTAAAGTCTTCAAGCATTGTTGGGTGGTGACGGCAGGGTTCTGGAGCTTGGCAGTTCTTACCACTTCAAAAGCAGGTTCTCTCAACACATCCAGTAGGCGGCACCACTTCTCCTCATCAGGTATTTGCCAGCTTAACAAAGTCTATTGTATGTGGGAGAGGCAGGAATTAAAACCTTCCCCCCCTGTGGGGACTGGAAGGTTCCCAGAAAAAACGTCTTAGCCTTTTGTATGCAGCCCTGTCATTAGAGTAATTGGCCACCTCCCTGATTACTTTCTGTAGGGCTGTGACCCACTCTGGGGCAACACCAGGAGGGACTGTTGCTCCCACCCCTCCTGGTTCAGGAGATACCTGTCCACTACCCCCTGGCTGAGACATGTTTCCTTGGCTCTGTTGCTCTATAGGGGTACACAGTGCTCCACAAATGCTAGAAGCACTTGCTAGCAAAATCCCGGATAAACCCCCAAAATGTAACCCAGGTAATACTCAGTGGTGTACCCCCTCTTCAAATGAAGGGATGTCAGCAGGTGCAGGTGTCTGTGGGAGGTGTAGCTGTCTGGCTGGGTGCAGCTTTCCTCCCTTCCCTATAGAGCAGAGAAGGACACATGTGGAGACAACTATATATAAATTTAATAAGATATAAAAGTTATTATATTAACATATATACATAAATTACAGGAAGTATAGGCAGTATATACTCTATGCAAATATTCTATACACAGGTGAAGGGTGGCACATTCAAAACAGGGAGTTCATCAACTATTATGCATTCTTATACTCTAATAGGGCACAAGGTTTACAAAGCCTGGGATGCAGGACCCCGGAGAAAGGTAAAGACTCACAGGCTACATGGGTGCAACACCTTGGCCCCAGTAGAAATGACCCCTGAGGGGGAGAAAGAGAGAAGGAATACTGCAATATCCTCATGGGCACCCCTGCTTGAATTGCCCTGATGGTCAGAGCAACATGATAGGGGAGTGCAAATTGACAGCTCCTGCTCCCTGTAGCAAATTATTTGTTCTTTCTCTAAACTCACATTAAAGTCCTCACCTTCGACCCTGAGGGGAGGGACACCATGTGACTGGGATCCAACCCCCTCAGGACAGGTAATGACTCTCCCTCCTGTACCCCATGTAACTCAGGGATCAGCAGCAGCTAACTGTGCCCCACTGAACTACTGCACAACACATGGGATTGGAGCTGTTCCCCACTCAGGAGGCCCAGTACCTATTGTTGAACCAGCATGATGCAGGCCAGGGGCCATTGATTGTATTTGCAGAAGGATGCCTTTGGGGGCCCATTCCTGACCTCCTCTCCCAATTACTCATATGGAGTTCTTTTTCCAGCTGTGGGCACTTCAAGACAAATGTGGATAGCATGCAGCAGATAGCAACACAAAATTTTAGAGGCCTGTAAAATATTATTTAGATGGAAACAGAAGAAGGACTGCAATTATGTATTCCAAAAAAGAGGAAAAAGGGGAGGTAGTGGGGTGGTGGAGATGGGGATTTGTTACAGTCTTTAGATACCTGAAAGTGGATATAAAAAGAAGGCAATAGACTCCTGTCTGTGGCCAGAGGGGACAGGACAAGTTGACACAAAATTCAACTATGCAATTTGGGCTGAGTATTACAAAGAACTCTGGAAATAGTTCAGCATTAGAAGAGAGACAGGAAGCTTCATCCTTGTGAGCTTTTAAAAGCAGTTTGGACAGACACTTTCCTTCTGTGGTTTATGCCAGGATGCACCTACCTTAAGCAAGGTTAAGGGGGTCAAGTGGAGTCTTGAGGAAGGTTTGGAGGGATCAGGAGCGGAAAGCAGGGTGTGAGTTTACCACTGATATTTGAAGGTCTGATTTTTACCCTCATTTCCCCGATTGCCCTGTCTAGGGACTCCTGCAGTATATTCTAACTCTTCCTGCCACGTCTTGATTAATTTTGATTTTATTAGTCGGGAGGTGTTACTGTCGCAGTAGGACGCTGGCAATCTATCTAGATTGTTATCTGTGTTACAATCTCTCTTGTGGCTCTCTCGGACAACACCCGAGATTTAAACCATCAATTGAATCCAAGTCAAATATGGGTTGAACAGTTCTCTTTATTATTAATTTTTTTCTTCTTCTTACATCCTCAGCCAGTTCGCAGGCAAACAGGTTGTGGCTACTTCAAACTGTTTTATATACTTTTAATTTTACCTTCAGAAACACTTTGTTGAATCTCAACCTAAGTAATACACAATTATGTAAAGGTAATTACAGAACCATTTTTTAACATGACAGGAGATTTTACTTTCAATCTCTTTCTTTCTTTCTTTTTTTCTTTTTTGGTGAGATCTTTTCTCTCCAAGCACTTCTGGACACTCCCACTTCTTTTCTGTAAGGGTGTGGAAGTAGCCATGACTCAGGCTCCTTCTCTCCTCAAACACCCCTGGAGCACAATCAGCCCCAATGAATGTCAAACAAAAAAGAAAAGAAAGAAATAAACTCAGCTTTTGTTCAACCTGACGAGCATCTGTGGATCCTTGCTTCTTGCGATTTATGCTGACGTTCCTCTACTCCTTGGAGTGACCCAAAAGTCAACTTATTTTTCCAGGGACTCCCAACTTACTCCTCCGGTCATGCCCTCTCCAGCACACAGGACTGTCTCCTGGGATTCCCCCGTCCCAGTAGTTTTCCATGGCTTGTCTTTCTTGGAGCCGTCACTTGCTCTTCTCTCTCTCTCCATGCGCCGTGCCGTCCCTCGTCGGGTTTTTCAATCTTAAAGGAACAGCTTCTCTGGAAACAGCATTCTCCCTGCTTGACCTTTTTCCTTGTTGAAATATCTCCTTTACAGCCAGTCCCTCTTCACACAGGGTCTGTGGGGTGGTTGGTGGGCTCCAGAATGGTTTGGTGGGATCTGGGAGACTAACGGGTGCCATGGGGTTGGAGAGCAGGGTTGGGCTTGGAGGGATGACAGGCTCTTTCCCCGCCCCAGGACAAGGGGCTATTATTAGCCCCTGACCTCCCCCCTCCTGCAGATGAACCCCCCTGAAGCAAACTATCTCTCCCAGTCCTGCCCATTCTTCCCCCCACCCTGATTTAGTCTATCTGTTCCCGGCACTGGGAAACACTAGTAAAACTGGCACAAAGGAGAGGCTTGCAGGATGGGGTGCTTAGCAGGCTCAGGGGGGAGGGTGTTGAATGGTCTGTGGGAGAGGGTTGCCTGTCTGGGGGTGGGAGTAGGGGCTGGGACACCAAAAATAGATCAGTGCCTGTTGTGGGAGTAGGAAAAGTATAGCTTTGGGGCTGGGCCAGAAGCTGGGCTTTCCCAGTACTAGTGTTGTGCTGGCAAATGTACAGAATTTTATTTATATCAGCCTTGTGAGTCTTGATCTAAGGTACAATACCTCTGAGGTACAGTTAACTTAGATGGGATCAGACATTTTGGGGCCAATCTAACCTTCTGAACTTCTGTACACTTTGTACTTAGATCAATCTAATTAGTGATTGAAAGGTGCAGAAAGAAGTGCAGCTCCCCGCTGCAACTGAGAATGCTTTGCAAGAAGCGTTCAGAGTTACAATGATCCCCCAGACCAGACAGAAGTTCACTTTAGGTTCTAGTGAGGAGGTGAATTTAGCTGCTGACTTCTAGCCTGCAGCTGGTTTCCCCTAGTAAAGGTCCCTTCTCCCTCCCATCCTGTCCCTGTTTCAGAATGGGAGGGGGGAAGGGAGCAGAGGGAACTCATTCTAGGGGTTCCCCAGCCAGTGCTGGAGGGTGAGGTGGCTGTATTGGAGCCCCACCCCCACCTCAGGGGGCCTCCAGTACACCCTCCCCACTCTCCAGGTCCCAATATACTCACCCTACCCACTAAACTCCCTCTGTTACCTTCCCCCCACCTTGCATTCTGAAAACTTTTGGAGGCTAGCTGGCATTGCAGACAGAAATTACAGAAAGTTCTCTGGTTTGAAAGGACTTAATTTGACTCCTCACTCAATGAAGGTTCATATTTTTGCCCAACTGGCCATTTTTAAGTGGCCTGCAGATGTGCACTTATGTTCAGATGACTATAGACTGCTTTGTGTGGCCAGACCAGGTGAAAAGTGTCACTTTTGTCTGTACTCAAGTGAACTGGGTGAACTTAGATTGACTGGACATTTTTAACACTATCTAATCTCCCCCTAAGTTCCCCAAACATCAGTATTTACCTTAGAAGTCCATTTCTACAGCCCCACAATCCCCCCCGTCTGCTATAGCAGTCTTCAGGAACAATTCCTGTTGCACCATGTGCTTGATGGGTTAATCTGTTTTTTTGGCTCTTGGTGGTTCCTTCTTCTTCTCACAAATGCAGAATCGAGTTTCTCCACAGTCTCCAGGCTTCACTGCCCCAGCTTGGACATACACACAAGCTCCACCTTGATAACTTAGATGACTGGCATCTGTGAGCTCAAACCTGGAACAGAAAGCCAAAAATGACAGTTTATGCCCATGTGCCTGAGCTCACTGTACCAGGGAAGTGGGCTGGGATCAGCCTGTGCTGGTTGTACTGTCAGCAGGAGATGCTGAACAACCACCTAACAGAAGGAAGGTCAGAGATGCTTTGCATCTCAAGGCTCTAATGAATTGGATGAGAATCCCCCAGCATGAGATCCATGTGCTCTCATGGCACATTGTACAAGACAGAATGTGGTCAACATTGTGTCTGGTCCAAGCTTCACTGGAAAAAAAAGATTGGGCATCCAGAAATTGCTCCTAGAATCACGCTCAGAAAATTTGTTCCCTCCTCCCCTCCTAAAGCTGAAGGCAGTTCCCAGAAGCATCTCCATTCCCAAAGTAGATGGAAAAAAAAAAAAAAATCCCCATGTTCACTAAGCAATTCCCATATCACATGAGAGAAGATGGTATCCACAAGATACATTAATGTACTACATGGCTCATCAGTCTATCATACCCCTGTGACTTGCCACCCTCTCCTGCTTCCTGTAATCCATCTGTCAGAGCTGTGATCTAACACTTGAGCAATATCAAAGGGATGTCCTTTATTGTGGTATTTCTTGTGGTTGGCAAGAGAACTGGTAATGGAAAAAAAAATGGACCTTGTTAGGGAGATAAAACCTAGTTTAGCATAGTGAGAAGTCCTTATGACTGTTCCAATCTGTGATTTTGGAGCCGTAGGCTAAGTTAGTCCCCTGTCTTTACAGGGATGCATTAATGATTCCCAGTACATTGCTGAAGATGTCTAATAACACTTATGCATTTCCCGTAACACACACAACCTGAGTACCACTCCTGAGTGAGGGATGAGGCCTTTGCGTGATATAGACTAAGCTCATCAGAGCACCTCCTACAGGCAGACAGAGCACCGCCTTATCCTCAGATACCTTCCCCAGCCAACAAGCCCAGCCTGGTCCAGGGTGTATGGCTTCAGCATTTAGGAAAGGAGAGTGACATTGCCTTTTTCCACCACAGCCCTTCAGCCCTCTGGGCCAAGTCTGCTTTACCAGGGCTACAATGTCAGATTCTCCCAGGGTATGTTGGGCTGGATCAAGATGAAAAGCCCCGTGCACAAATAGGAGGTTAGAACTGATCAGACCAGAGCTCCATGGGAATTGGGAAAACAAGAGGTTTGCAAACACATGGAGCCAGCTGAGGTTGGTACTATGTGGTTGAGTCCATGAATGACTGGTGTCTCCTGAGACGGAGGGGGCACCATTTGTAGGCAGCAGCGGGGCAATCTGCAGATGCCGGTGGCAGTGTTGGCATTATGGGTGGTGGTGGTGGTGAGTGGCAAGTGAGGACTGCCCGCAGACGTCGGTGGCCGCATTGACAGTGAGGGGAGGCAGCAGCCAGTGGGGACTGCCCACAGATACTGGCAGCTGTGTCGGTGGAGAGGTAGGGGCAGGTGGCGAGCAGCAACTGCCTGCAGAAGCCAGTGGTGACTTTGACAATGACCAATCCCAGGGTGGGGCACATGCCCCACCTACGAGTCACCTATGATTGAGTCTGTCACACTCTGTGCCTCTGAAAAAAATCACAATCCTGTTTAGTTGGCACCATCTGAAGCTTACATTTCCATGGTAAATCATACCCAGGGACTATGATGAACTTTGGTATACAGACAAGAACATCCTAATGGCACAGACTTACAAGGAAGTGGAGAGTGCTGAGCCATCCACCCAGACCCATTTCCTAGTTTCAGTGTGATAAGACAATCCAATCCAGAATCGGTGATAAAATACAGTGCTGTTGCGATCTTCATAGTATTGAAACAACTCATGATTTATGAAATCCTGCATGGAAATAAAATAAATAGCAAGTAAAAAAAGCCTGAATTCTCTCAGGTGTACAGAGAGCACCGCAGGTTTGAGTTCCAAATGCAGCATCACCATCAAATTCAGTGCAGAAACCTCCCCTGTAGCTAATATTGGGTTCTCACCTCCATGGTTACCACCCTCATCTTTTGCTCACCCATCAATTTCAATCTAAATCTTTTTTGGGGGTGGACAAGCTAAAGGCTGTCTTACAGCCCAGGGCTGACATTTCCCTAGTAAGTTTCCTTATAATCAGTTCAGACATTATAGAGTGAGGGCAGGGTACAAAATTATATCATTCACCCTTGATGAAGTTATAGTGCACCCAGGCAATGCTAGAAGGCCTGTGGATAGTGTTTACTGAACAGCCTGTTTTCTAAGGTTGTTAAAAGAACTGTTGGAGAAACCTGCTGTGAGTACCTTCCAGGCAGAGCATTCAATTTGCAACCAGTCTGACTGTGCACTGACACCCCTCTGATTTCAGATTCAGATAAAATCATTTTCACTCTGTTAATTACTGTGACTGGGCCAAACAGCAGCTTCCTTCTGGGCATGTCACACCTCCTTCTCTGCGATCCTGAGACTATGCCTAAGGAACAGCACTAACTTATTCACTCTCATGTTACATGTGTGGCTTGTTCACAAATATTGGGTCATCCCTTTATGGGACCTGCCCAGGGACTCTCTCAGGGTTGCTGTCTTGAGTGTAATCCTAAGAGAGACACTGTGTGCTACTGGTACTGCTCTGATGTCTGAAAGAGACTTGGGGGTCATGATTGACCAGAAGATGAACATGAGCCACCAATGCGATGTCACAGCTGGTAAAGCAAACAAAACTCTGGCTTGCATCTATAGAAGCTTCTCAAGTAAATCCCAGGAAATTATCCTCCCGCTGTATTTGCCCTTGGTGAAGCTGCAGCTGGAGTACTGTATCCAATTCTGGGCTCCAGAATTCAAGAAGGATGTTGAGAAACTTGAGAGAGTCCAGAGGAGAGCCGTGCACATGGTCAGAGGGCAAGAGAATAGTCCTTATGAAGAGAGGCTGAGAGCCACTGGACTCTTCAGCCTGGAGAAGCGCAGGCTCAGGGGGGACCTGGTGAAGTACATAAGGGATGTGTATCAGGATCTGGGGAAACGTCTGTTCACTAGAGTGTCCCGAGAGATAACAAGGATTAATGGTCATAAACTTCCCCAGGACCATTTTAGGCTGGACATAAGGAAAAATTTCTTTACTGTCTGAGCCCCCCAGGCCTGGAATAGACTCCCTCCAGAAGTGGTGCAGGCACCTACTCTGGACTAATTCAATAAATGCCTTGATGCTTATCTTGCTGGGATCCTTTGACCCTAGCTGACTTCCTGCCCCTGGGGCAGGGGGCTGGACTTGATGATCTTCAAGGTCCCTTCCAGCCCGAACGTCTATGAAATCTATGAAATCTAAGAAACTGTGGTTGGGGCCTTCCCCTCAGCAACTTTCTTGGAGTAGGTTAGGGAGAAGGTGCAGACACAGCCACCAACAACATCCAGCCCGCAGCAGAGCATCTAAACTGGAGGATGGACAATCTGAGAAGAGGAAGGATGATAGGGAACCTGACTCTGGGGCTGTGGATTTTATCTTATGAAATATTTTCCATCACATTCTGATTCTCTTTAGGTGCCAATTGCACCTAAACATTCAGCCACAGGTGCAGACAAGAAGGACCTTTGTTCCAGTTAAGCCCAGACTTGAAGTGGGGGTCATTCTACATTCCAGTGATTTTTCCATAGACTTGAGATTTCCTGTGCCTCTTTGAACAACAGGGTGCAGCAGGGCAGCCTGCTCCCCAAGGATGAGGGGCCAACAGGGCCATGGCCTTCCCTCCTCACCCCCAGTTTGTGGGGAAATATCCTCTGCCCATGACTACTCTGCACCTATATAAGGGTCAGTGCCACTCTAGCCATGCTCATTTTGGCATGTATTTTGGCAATGTTGCGCAATTCCACCCACAGCTAAAGAGAAACAGGAGGAATAGACATACAATTAAACCTATGAATATTTAAGCCACTCTCTGATTCTTACCCTTCACCATCTCAATCAGACAGCCCTCCAATGTGCACTGCACTTTGCAGACCTGCTAGCCCTCAGGAAACTTTTCTTGGAATTACCCAGATAAAGATGGGCTACAGAAAGACCAGGTCCAGGGCCTGACTCCTCTCTGACTGTGCTCAATGGTTTGATTCGCACCGATAGGATTAAGTGAGCATACACTCACCCACTCCTCCAGATTCTTAACCATGAGCATCCCAACAGCCTGAGAAATGCAGGAGGATTTACATTGTTCCCAAGTTCTTCTTTCTGGAGAAAAGAGGTAGGACCTATCCTTCATGCGACTCCACCGTGATGGACATTTCTCCCCTGCAACAAATTCACACATCACAGATCAACTCACCACCTTCCCACATATCTTCCACATTGGGGACATTACCATTAGGAATAGAAGGATTCATGGCCTTCCTAGTTTCATGACCTCCACTGGTTGTGTCTCTTAGGCCCTGCTGTGGCAGAAGCCTATTCCCCCCACAGCTGAAGGGGAATGGGCCTTTCCCCTTCTGGAGTGGCAGATGCTGCCATGCAAGGAACAGTGACGCTGGTTTCCACAGGTGCGGGAAAGGTAACAAGCACGACTATCTTGGCCAAGGTCAGACCCAGCTGTGGTCTCCTGGGGGTAGAGAGGGTAATAACTCCCTTCCCTGCCCTGCTCTGCCTGAGGGGCCATGGTGCTCTACTGCTACAGCAGCGAGGAATGAGTGCCTGGAAGACCTGGCTTGGATCCCTGCCGGTGGGACAGGGAGGGGGGAATTGAACTCCTCTATGTCCAGTTCAGCCTGGGCTGGCCACCCTCAACCCCCAAAACAGCTTCCCTGCAGGCAAGGGTACACTCTAGCACCCCTCAACTCCTGACCTGAGGAACTGCAGGCATGTGCCTACATTTCCTCCGTCTAGAGGGAATGCCTCACTGATACAAACCAGTTCAATCTAGGCAGGTTAGACTAACCTGCAAAGATTTAATCAATTCAGGCTCCAGCTTTTTGAATCTCTGTCCCTAGCCAAGAAACCTTTGCCCCACATAGCTGAAGGAGAATGGATCTTTTCTCTCCTAGAGTGGCAGATGCCACTGTGCAAGGAACAGAGGGGCTGGTTTCCAAAGCCCTAAGAAAGCCAGACAACTATCACTAACTTGGTGGAGGTCAGGCTAGGCCCCATCAGCCCCAGGAGGCTTTTCCATCTATCAAATGTTGTTCAGAGTTTAAAATTGATTCCTGCCCCACAGTGGTAGAAAGGTCACAACATTGCAAAAAAAAAAAAAAAAAAAACTGAATTCAGTAATGCAGGAATTGCAAAAAATTACTGAATTCAAAATCCATGTTTCTCCTGGAACATGCCAGTTTGATTGATTTCCAGACATTTCATTCTGACCTGAATAGGTTTTATATCTCTTTAAAAGCTCATTAATTTACATTTTGGACGGAAACATAATTTTAAATGGCTGCATGAGAATTCTTTGTTTTAAAATGCTGATGAAAAGTGTCACTGCAACAATTTGGAAATGTTCCAGCAATAGCTTTGCTTTAAGAAATGTGTCAACCTGAGAAAATCTCAACCCGTGTCTGTAGCTGGAACCTCATGGCAGTATCCCAGTGAGAATCCCTCATCCATAAAAAAACATTTCTTGGCACTGTGGACAACATTGCAATGCCAGGATGGCTTAACAGACAGGTGTGGATCTGCCCTGAGGAGATGGCAGCTTCAACTCTACAACTTACCTTGGTGAGGAGGCAGCTCCGAAGGCCTATCTGGAAGGTCCACGCTTTGGGCTTGGCAGGACAGAAGCTGCTGGGTGAGGCCTTCAACTTGCTCAGTGAGCTTTTGCTGCTCCCTGCCACAGTCAGTGACTTAAACAACAGAACAGCATAAGCGTGCTTATTAAAGCAAAGACTGCAACGGTGTCACGAGTCAGCACAACAGGCAGCCCTGCTTGGCTTCTCTCTGGGAGGAGAACAGCGATGTGTAAAAGGCAGGAGGCAGGTGTTTCCTCATTGTGCTCTGCAGAGTGCTGCCCGGGGCATCTGCTCCTTGTTGTTTTGATTGTAGGTTGACACTATGAGTCAGTCCACTAGGATGACCTTTAGGTGTCCTTTGGAGTGGAAAAAAGTCCATCCACAATCAGAACAAAACAGGGGGCCCATTATCATGTGCCCCGGGGATACAGAGAATATTAGATACTCTCTCCTATTAACACCCTCTGTGTATTTGAAGGCTTTTCTCAAATACAGTTTCCTTCTGCAAACTATCTAACCCCAGTACTTCCAACCTTCCAACCTCATGTTTCCTAAACCTCTAGTTTCTGTTACTTGCACTCTATTATCCAATTATCCTCCCACGTCCCCCTCACACACACCCCTTCCTGGAAATGCAGACACTTGCTACAGTACTCCAAATGAGTCCTCTCCAGTGCTGAATGGAGAGGATGAACCATCTTATGTGACTTGCATATGACAGTCCTCTACCCATACACACAAACTGCACTCCAGTTTTTTTAAATACTTTTTTCTTTACTACAAATGAAAAAGAGCGGTCTTTAGAGTGTCTCCATGTGACATGCAAAACACACCTCATAACAAGTGGTGATAACTAGTTACTCATGGATAAAATAGTTGTAATTACCACTCACTTCAGAGTGAGGAATTAACCTGGCTTTATTGCACCTGTCATACACAAGGAAATGCTTCCTCCTTTTTTTCCCCCACCTGTTTTTGCTACACAAACTATAGAAATCCATATCCATATTTCAGTTATGGGAACCAACCAGAAAATCCCTGCACTCCCCCTTGGAAGGTGATGCAGAAGCCCCTCTTACACTAGAGAATGTACTACTAACATCAGGAGGCGCTACTTCACAGTCAGGGCAGCTAGGACCTGGAACCAACTTCCAAGAGAAGTGGTGCTGGCTCCTATCCTGGGGGTCTTTAAGAGGAGGTTAGACGAACACCTTGCTGGGGTCGTTTGACCCCAGTACTTTTTCCTGCCATGGCAGGGGGTCGGACTTGATGATCTGCTCAGGTCCCTTCTGACCCTACCAACTATGAAACTATGAAACAATTTACAAAAGTGCAGATAAATCAGTTAAATCAGTGTAACAGTCTATATGCTGTAATAGCCATTGACTTCCATGCTGCATGAAAAATATTTATTTAACAAAAATTACAATGCTGCTACTGACAAGAATTAAAAATTAGGTGATAATAAATTAATGATAAACCATTCATCTGTCAAAGTATATGCGGAACACAACTACTACTACTACACACAGACATAGACGTGAGTGCACATATATACTAGGGGTGTGCGAAACAGGCTGTATTAGATTTGGATTCAGATTCGGCCTGAATCGGGGACAGTGATTTGATTCATCGATTAGGATCACTGTCATGATTCGATTTGGCTGAATCCGAATTTGAAGATTTGAGGCTGATTCGGAGAATCAGGAATTCAGACATAGACACAGCTTTAAATGTTTTTCTACATACCTTGAGGTACCAGGCATGGCTTGTGAATACTGCAATGGTGAGGTGGATGGAGTGCCCCACAGAACCATGCCCAGCCTCCCCCCCGATGTGCTCGGCAGTGAACCAGAAGTACTTCCAGTCCACTTCTGGGTCCATCGCCAAGCTTGGGGGGGGGCACCCCTGCACCCCCCGCAGCTCAGCAATTGATCACAGGGGGACCCTGGGTGCCCCCCTCAGATGCAGGAGGCACCAGTCACCGAGCTGAGGGGATGCAGAGGGGGGCCCTGTGCGCTCCCTGGCATACCCAGAAGTGGACTGGAAGTGCTTCTGGTCCACTTCTGGGTCTGCTGCTGACCATGCTGGGGAGCCCCCCACACTCCCATGGGACGTTCCATGCACCCCAGCATCTCAGCATTCATGAGTTGCCTGCTACCTAGAGGTATGTAGAGAAGAAAAAAAAAAATTAAGCTGTGTCTATGTCCAAATCATTTAATCTTTCCAAATCTCTCTGAATCAATTTTGAGAGTTCCCATTAGATTTGGAGAGATTAAAAGGTTTACTGATTTGGAGATTTGGCCACCGAATTGGGCTGAATCTCTACTGAACTGAATTAGCGACCGAAGCTTTACACATCCCTAATATATATATATATAGAGAGAGAGGGAGAGATGTATGAGTGATATATGCAAAATGAATGCAGCCATTTTTGTATAAGTTTGTATATGGACATATGGTATGTGTATATGGACAAAAACAAACTCATGCACATGCAAAAGTCTTTATTCTGCCATTTCTGAACTGCAATTCACAAGATTTAAGGGACAGAATTTTAAAATTTTCTTGTATGAGATTTTTAGAAATTTAAAACCCCTAAACTTTTGAATGCAGAATGAACCACTTAGGTTTGTGACACAAATATGGTTATTTATAACCTAAAATGAAATTTCTCAGTATGGAACAGGTCTAAAGCCTTTGAATCTCACTTCGTTTTTTATATGCTGCATGCAAAGCACCGAAGTGAAACAACTAAAATAATGGCTATGTCCCCATTATGGTCTAAACGTTTCCCAGAATGCAGAAATCACAAGCATAGAGAAAGTCTCAGATGAATATTTCTGGAGGCATTTTTTGGTACTACAGTTGCCACCAGTGTAAACTGGTGAACAATCAGCTGTCTCTGATACAGCAGTTAGTGCACAGGGAGCATGACAGGGACAATGATGGACCCTGTCCTAGGCCCTGGAAGCTCACACATTAGGAAGGGCTGCCAGGCCTGCTAAGGGGGCAGTAATTGCTTACACTTACCATGGGCATCATAGACTCTGACTCCTATCATCAAAAGCAGGCACAGCAACAAGGCCCCCAGCGCCAGTGCAAGGGGCAGCCAGGAGGAATATGGCAGGAGAGGCACTAACCCCAAAAAAGGAGAGAAATGAACAGGAAGGTGAGGAAAAGAAACTGCTTCTCAACCAAGAATTCGGGTCAGTCTGGAGCTCATGGGAGCATTTCCAGAGCCAATATCTGAGCAGACAGGTTCAGGGAGAGGACAGAGAGTAAGGGCTGTGTCAGCACCCAGGGCAGAGATGCAGGTCATGGGCCAATTCTGCTGCCCGTGGGTAGGGGACGGGGATGGCGTCTCACCTCCCGGCTCTCATCCCTGCAGATACTACTGCTGCTGCAGCAACAATGGCCTGTGGCTGCTGTTGCTGGGGGCCAGGAAGTGGTACAGGCTCCCCAGGGACAATTCCTGCTTTGTTCCCTCCTCCTCCCAGGTGTTGGGCTGTGTCTCTGGTGTCAAGGCCCCTGGGGTGGGGTGGGAGGTCCTTCCTACCCCTCCCTCAAAACACACTGCTCAGTATGGGGCTCTGCCTGCCCAGCTGCTATTGGTAGGTGGTGCAGGATTGCCCCTGACATGGCCAAGACTTCTGCCAGGAGGGGCTATCCTAGTACCCGCCTGTCAGCAACCAGGGCTAGTGCCCCACACACCCACCCCAAGTTACACTGCTGGGAATGGAGACCGAGGAAGCCAGGAAACCAAAAGAAACCCCAGATACATCTACCATGTGTGTCAACTTCACTAGGTGGAAAAAACCAAGACATAATTTATGGGAAGGAGAATAATGGTTTCAGTGGATTCAGGATCCAGTAATGGGTGACCGAGGAGGGCTCCCTCCCGGCTCCATGGCTGCACTGTGAGGAGGAGCTGAGCTGCTGCAGCCATGTCCATCACCTTTGGGAACATTCACGAGGAACAAGGGAGCGAGTGACCAGCACTGGGGGGGTGAGCATGTCTTGTTTCTGTCATGCTGTGATGTAGCAGAGGGGAATCGGGAAGGTTGAGCTCAGATCCAAGCTAAGCTTGTATTACTGCCCCATAGACCCCTCTACCTGCATGGTACCTCTGAGCCCAGGAAGCCAAGGAGTCTGTCTCTGCACCTTTGGAGAAGTTCCCAGTCTGAGGTCTGATGAGAAGTCCTTCTGTCCCCGCATTCCCAGTGGGGTCTAGCAGAGATGGTTAAGATTCAGCTTAAATGTAGTCAGGAGTGGAACATGAGGAGGACCTTTGGTCTTTGAGTGACCTACTAGATCTTTCAGGGTGTCTTTAAATGTGCTCCAGGGCTGGGCAAATTAGGGCATTTTGAGAATTAATTGAGTCTGCTCTGACTCACTATAATTACAGCTTATCGGAGCAGATGTTCCACATGTCTACAGGCATCCTGAGTGACTCTGACCTGGCAGGTGGAGCAGCTCAGAGCTATGGCTGGGAAGGAAATGTTTACCTGTACTGAGAAAAAGCATGATGGTTTCAAACAGGTTCCCATTTGGCATCTGGGCAGAACAGGATGATCTTTCAAAATATCTCATGAAATAAGCAGGGGAAAAGAGACTGACAGATAAATTCCCTTCTAAAACGGTAGTAGCTTGGGCATTCCCATGGGGCAGGAGAGACTGAGGATCTCTTAGACTATTCCCATCTTTCTGCACCCAACACCTGGAAGCTTGGCCATTTCAAGAGCAAGGCAGTGACCTGCCATGTCTGGTTCTGAGATGAGCAACCAACACAGAATAGGGACTGAGATCCATAAGTACACTTTTAGCACTTTCCCAACATTTTTCCTTGACACTGCCCAGGCCCGTTACACATAAATGTCCCAAGATGCAAGTCACTATCTGCTCTGTTCTCTACATTTTATCTTGTGAGACTGCAGCTCCCACAGTGAGAGGCAGGGACTATCACTATCTATCACATAGCACTGTTCCACCCTGCCTGCCAGGGAAAATATCCAGCTTCCTCATACAAACCCCAGGTTGACTCCACTTTGGAGGAAAAATGACCTTCACCCACAACAGGTCCCAGAATTGACCTCAGCTTCTGTGGCAGCTCCCCTCCCTGCCCCCAAAGTAGACCAGCTAAATCCCCCTCACAGCTGTGCTCTCTAGATGTATCTTATTTAGCTAGTCTCCCCTGCCTTCTCCTACAGCAGTCACAGCCGTGGGACACTTCAGGTAGGTAAGACTTGGCTGGAAGAGATTCAAGGGTGGGACGTGTGGAGGAACTGGTGACTGAGCAACTTAGACCCCACAGAGGAGCAGCGCAGGACTTCAAGTGGGAGGCGAGCAGTTACCTGTCCTGAGACACTGGTCATCTTTCCAAACCATGTTCCCAATTCTGCCCCACGCAAAAGGGAGCGGACTATCATAACAGGGGAAAAGAGAGGAAAGGGAAACTCCTCCCTGAGGTGGCAACAGCATAGATACATCCAAAGGACTTAAGAGACTTAGGCTGCTTGCTGACATTAAGTAACAAACAAACAAAC